CGCCAAGATACGGGATAGTTCTAGAAACAAGAGGGCGTGAGAATTGTTACGTGATCTCGATGACTCAACAGTATCATGCTCGGTCCATTAAACATCTGAGGGCTCAAAATATCCACCATATCGGAGCCAAAATCCACAGTTGCGGTATCAATCGGTCACAAAAAAGCAATATAGCATTTTGCAGCTACCTAGCATGAAAAGTTTAGAAACTGTTTTCGGAAATGGCTCAGTTTAGGTGGTAAATCTCATGAGATTGCAATTTCTAATGTGTAGTTCACTGACATTCCCTCTGGGGGTACTGGCTATTCTCGATTCATTGACAAAAGTTCATTCGAAATAAACGACTAAAGACCAGACATTCACAAGTGAGATTGCTTGGTGTAGAAATGGCCGAACATAACAAATGTCTTGCATCAAGATCACCATTTCCAAAATACTTTAAAATTCGGAATGGCATAAATGGTAGCGGTGAAATTTAAGACAAAACAATACAACTGGTATAAGTGCATGTCTTTTTAATTTGATTGATTTGATATAATTCGTTAAATGTCATATTTCACTCGACAAGACGTATGTATACATACATAGCTTTTAAAGCTTAATTTAGATCTGTGCAGCCACTCCATGTGAAGTTTATTACCAATTTATCTGTAAATACCAAAGAAATAGCATAATATTTAAACAATCCCCATACTAATAATAGTGGCAATGATTGTTTTCAAACTAAGTATTTCATTATATAATTTACAATGTTCATTTTCTTATATATATCTATAAAATTGTTATAAGTAGGTCCACTAAATTGAAAATTATAGTGTTTGTAGTCAGTGTATATATTTATCATTCCACCAGATTTAACTCCTGGAAATCAAATACTTTGAGGGTTTGTAGAAATCAAACATAACAGGAAGCACTAAAATGCCAATTTTCACCTCACCACGTATTATTTGACCTCCTCGTAGCAAAAACTGGAGCGAATCTTAAGTAGATCTTTTGACACAAGCTCGGGCATATTATTAATTATCCAAAACTGTATAAAACTTAGATTCCCTATGGTTGGAACGAAGTTCATTTTCTATCCTTGACTGACGGCCTATTACGACATTAAATACACATAACGGCCAGACCGGGTAGTTAACACACACAAAAAACCCTCCCCTCTAGATGGCTTAGCGGTAAGTTTGAACGATTATAATAAATATTGTTAACACATATTTTGTAATTTTCCTTAAAAAGGGCACTCAGAGATTGTGTGATCATTTAACAGCATTGTTTAATTTATCTCTAAATTCTGGCTACATCCCAGTCTCTTGGAAGCAAACAAATATTCATGTGTTTCCAAAGGAAGGAAAGTTAGTCTAACTAGTTGTGTGGCAAAATTTGAGAAAGAATTATTAACAATAGAATCTCAAATTTTCTGGAGATCACATCAAAATTACCCGAAGTTCAAAATTGTTTCAGAAAACTTCAACAAACAACAGATTACTCGGTTAGGTTAACTGAAACCATAATATACATCTGGAAAAAAGTTAAGCACCCCCGTGTTTTTTTCAAGTGATTCAGATTCGACGTTCTTGTGACTGATTATAAATTACCATTCAATCTAAACGTGTTTATCAAATGAAATTATGCATTATTGGG